GTATAGAAACTATTCAGCGCGTATATAAAACAGGTCCGCGGCTCCGAACCGTAGTAAAGGGACCTCTGGCTAATACGTCGGGTTCATGTCGGGCTCGTAGCTGAAAACTAGCTTTACTTTGTTCTCTGGGTCACTTTGCTAGCGAGAGACAGAGAGAGGCGTTGAAAGGCTGCTGCAACCAAACTTATTGTTTCAGAGGAAAACACGAACACAGCGTACAGCCGAGTCTTAATAGCTTACTTACAACTGGACTACACTGCCCATGAGGCTGCATTCTTTAGGGCTACGCCTGTAACACTCTGCCTATTGCCTTCATGTTAAATAATTTTTGAACAATAATTTTAAAAAATATTTCTTCACGCCATTATGCGGGTCGCAAGTAGGGGTGACATGGGCCGCGAGATTGGGACACAGACATTAGAGCCTCTTAATGCGTGTTTTGTTTGGGTTTCCAACAGCGTGGAATTATCAGAAAAGAGAGAGCATAGCCGAACATGTGAAACAGGAAAATACCGCCGTGCAATCCGTTAATTTCAACTGTAACAGAATACAGTTACTCATATTTTGTATTTTAAATATGTAACGCCGGTACATGTACTCCGTTACTCCCCAACACTGTCGGTGAGCTTGTCCAAGTTGCAGCCTCAGTTGTATTTACCTGAACAGCAGCTGGTGTGATGTTTTGCCGCTGTAGCCCATCTGCTTAAGGTTCAACATTTTGTAGGTTCAAAGATGCTAATCTGAATACCTTGGGGAGAAACGTGATAGATTCTAAGGCCCCGAGACTGACAGGGACCCTAGAAAACATTAAAACAGTCAAATAGTGCATTTTGTTTCCTTTCCTTTTATTTTCGTTTTTTTTTTTATGTAAATTATTAACCTGTCATCTTAAAAAAAACATGAAAACTGAGACAGCTGGAAATTAAACTCATAGCGAAGTCTACATGAAGGAAACTTCTTGACCTTCTTAATATGTATTAGCTTATCGTATTTCTATCAGAACACAACGTGTTTGTGTTATTTTAGCCAACATGTACATATGTATACTAAATCACTTATCTGTCGACCTGCTTACAGGCCAAACAGATCAAACCTCTGGCTCACGCTAAGCTGTCTCACTCCCATCTTCCTGACACTGAACCAGCCCACTGATATTTGAAGAAGTGTGTACTGCTCTGCTTGTATTTTGCACTCTGCATGTAATTTTTGCAGGTGTTGAGAGCTTTCAGTAAGCTAAAGAACAGAGACGTATTTTAGTTGGCTGTAATTCATTTCCAATGGCTTATTTAAGTTATATTTGCCAATACTTAATATTATAAATAAAAGAATAAAGTAAAAAAAAAAAGTACGCAATTTTATAAATACTATTTTAAATTTACTTCCATCTAAAAAGTTCAGATGTATTTCATTTGTGTTTGGTGTAAAGTACCAATCAATGTTAGTAAAAATAGAAAATATAATAGTGTTATGAAAAGAATATTAAAATGCAACGATGGCCTCCACACATCTCGTCAGTCTTTCACACAATCAAAAACATCTCTTTAGGTTAAATGTTGATTCATGCGCAGTATTTTTAGGCGTAGTGTGGTTTGCAATATTAACGTGTTGGGCCCTAAAGTGACATTTTTTATTTCACAGGGCCACGGCTGTAATAAGTGGTTGTTTGAGTTACTGGTGCCTTCTGAGCAACCCAATTTGCCCATTCTCCTCTGACCTCTGGCATCAATAAAGCATTTTACACCTAGAACTACCACTCCCAGGATATCTTCTCTTTTTTGGTCCATTCTTGTGAACAGTGCAGATGGTTGTTAGTGGTGTGCGGATTGATATTGAAATATTGATTCTTCCAGTAATTTATGTTCTAGAATCGATTCTCATATTAAAATATTGATATTTTAGTACTTTGGGGTAAATTTGTAGATTTTCATTAACAGGAACAGTGGAAAGAAACTATTTCATTCAGATCGTCTAAATTGGAAGGAACTACTTCTTCTTACACCTTTCATAGTCATATGCGAATGTGTCGCAGCCCCTTGGCGTGCGCATTCACAACAATGGCTGAGCGTAAACGGAGTCATGTGTGGACGTATTTTACCTCCACAAACAGCCAAGACATGGTTTGCGATACATGTGGCAAGACCACTAACCTCGTCAAACACCTCAGACTAAATGACATCACAGAATATGATCAGCTTATGTTGAGGTGACATGACAGGTGCTGCTAGGGCGAGACAGACGTCTCTGGCGGAGTCCTTTAGTGCTGCAGGCAACGTGTTCAACTAGCACACAACTTCAGGTTTTTTATTTCTATACGATAATTCTGCATTATTAAGCAATAACAACAAGTAGTCTGATGTTGTCTAATCATTATGAAGCCCTGTTATTACAATTTCATAATACTATTATATACTGTATTATGAAATACAATGAAACATTTAGTTTTTGTACAGAATTTTACTTGGTATTGGATCGGAAAGGAAATCAGTGGTATCGCACATCACTAATGGTTGTGCTGACAAATTCCAGTAGATTAGCCATCTCTGGAAAACTCCAGCCCGTCCGAACAACCATGACATAGTCAAACTTCCTTAAATCGCCTTTCTTTCTCATTCAAATGCGTGGTTAGAACTTCATAAGATTGTGTTGACATTGAGATTGTGTCCGTGTGCCTGTGATTAGCTGATTAGATATTTGTGTTACAAACACAGGGCTAGGGATGGGTATCGTTTAGGTTTTATCCGATACCGGTGCCAAATCGGTACTTTTGAAACGGTGCCGGTGCTTAAACGGTGCTCGAACCGGTGCTTAAAGAATGGAGAACACAAAATTGGTCCAAAAACCTCTCATGTTTAGCTGTTTCCCACTTT